GGAAGTGGTGCTGTGGCTCAAGTGGTAGAGTGGTAGCCTTGATCAAAAGAAGTTCAGGACAGTGTCCAGGCCCTGAATTTAAGCCCCAGGACTGGCAAAAAGAAAAGGAAAAAAAAAGAAAAAGAAACCAGCTCAAGTTTACTTCAGAAAAAAAAATGTGAGAAATGATAGGATGAAAGCAAGGCCATGCCACAGAATGGAAGTGGAAGTGTGCACCAGACTCTCATGTCTTTGTTCCATTCCATGTATTCTTTTTTCCCCCCAGTCTTTGCAGAAAAAAAGCCACACAAACCCCACTTTTTATATTCTGTAATAAAAATTTCAACCCAGATAAAGATCATGTCCCTTATTCTCATTTTACATTTTTCTCAGATTCCCTACTCAGTCCAAATTCTTGCCAAAATGGAAGTTAGAAGGTTATGATGCATAGCCAGAGCTTCTCACAGGTCATCCTTTGACCATGTGGATAAGGAGGAAAAGGAGAAATTTACAGAGAAAAGGGACTGACCTGGTAGTGAGTCTACTAGATGTATTTTGCAAGACCTTCTCTTTCTATCTCACGGAATATTGATCTTAAAAAGTGGCTTGCTAGCCAGACACTGGTGGTTCATGCCTGTAACCCCAGCTACCAAGGAGGCTGAGATCTTTTTTTTCTTTTTTTTTGGCCATTACTGCTTTTATTTAGAAAATTACTGTTCAAGAGGCTGAGATCTTTGAACCTGATCTGAGGATCTGGTTCAGAGGTAGCCTGGGCAAAAAAGTCCCCAATTAATAATCTCCAGTTAGCCACTCAAAACCAGAAGTGGAACTGTGGCTCAAAGTGGTAGAGTGCTAGCCTTAAGTGAAAAAGCTCAAGAATAGCGTCCAGGTCTGAGTTCAAGACCCAGAACCAGCACTGGCTTTCTGCCAGTCATTCTTTCTGGGAAAAAGGAAGTGAATGGTATTAAGGTAGAGTTGGGAAAGGGAGGAATTTTTGAGCCTTTAGACCTTTGTGAACCCCTTCAATTCATACCATGTGTATAATTTTTGACAGCTTATCAAGGCTATCCATAGAAAAAGATTCCATTGATTCTTGGATGTGATCCAACTTGACATGCAAAGGTATATAAATTACCCAGATGAATGTTATAGAGATTCAACTCATCTATTCTGGTGCCTGAAATGACCATAATTGCAAGCAGCGACTTATTTGTTTCCATCCTATAAACCAGTGAGTTCCAGCCTGAATGGCCTAGACATGTAGAGATGTCTAGAATTGAAGCCCTATCAGCTATTGCAAATATCTCATAAAGTTCCAAGAAAATAATAAATTTCCTGGCACAAAGCTGTGATAGACTATCTAAACCATCAAAATTTTCTGCTTTAGAATGAAATTATATCAACCATAAGCAACAAATCATGATTATGATTTAAAATATCATTTAACACATACACAAACAGTTGGTTAAATAAATTCTGAATAAATACCATCTAGTCCATTTTCTGTTACAATAACAAAATACATGATATAAGGTGGTTAAACAAGAACAGGTTTATTTTGGTTTATGGTTCTGGGAGTCCAAGAGCAAGACGCCAACATCTGCTCTAGTTCTGGGACTAGTGCTATTTCTTTCTTTCTTTCCTTCTTTCTTTCTTTTTCTTTCTTTCTTTCTTTTTGGCCCATCTTGGGGCTTGAACTCAGGGCCTGGGCACTGTCCCTGAGCTCCTTTTGCTCAAGGCTACTACTCTACCACTTGAGCCACAGCACCAATTCCGGCTTTTTCTCTTTATGTGGTACTGAGGAATCGAACCAGGGCTTTATGCATGCTAGGTAAGCACTCTACTACTAAGCCACATTACCAGCCTGCTATTTCCATTTATGGTGGAAAGTTGAATAACAAGTGGGCATGTACTAAAAAAACAGTGCACAGATGAAAGTGAGGAGGGTGCCAGGTTCCCTTTACAATGACCTGTTCCTGTGGTAGAGAACTGCTTTCCTTTTGGGGGAGCTTCATTAAATTCCTTCATGAGCATAAATCCTCTATGACCTAACTAGCTCTTGGAGCTTGAACTTGGGGCCTGGGCTCTGTCCTGGAGTTCTTTTGCTCAAGGCTAGTGCTCTACCCGTTTGAGCCACAGCACCACTTACAGTTTTCTTGTGGTTAATTGGAGATAAGAGTCTCACAGATCTTCCTGTCCTGGGTAATTTAGAACTGTGAGCCTCAGATCTCAGCGTCCTGAGTAGCTAGGATTACAAGCATGAGCCATCAACTCCCAGTGTGTGTGTGTGTGTGTGTGTGTGTGTGCGTGCATGCGTGCATGCGTGCGCTCGCGCGTGCCAATCCTTAGACTTGAACTCAGGGTCTGGGTACAATCTATGACCTTTTGTGCTCAGGGAGAGTGCTCTACTACTTGAGCCACAGCTCCACCTCAGGCTTTCTTTAGTGGAGAATTGGAGACAGGAGTCTCACATATTTCCTACTCTGGCTGTCTTTGAACCATGATCCTTAGATCTCAGACTCCTGAGTAGCTAGGTTTACAGGTGTGAGCCACCGGCACCTGGTCTAACTAGTTCTTAAAGGCCCTATCACCTCTCAACAACATTACATTGGGAGAATTAAACCTCTACCTGGGTTTTAGTGAGGATAAAACATCTTCCTCGGAGAAATTATTCTGGTTATATTCTAGAGACTAGAAAGAAAGTTAAGGCTCAAAGTCATCTTTCCTAGAGGTCTTTAAATCTAAGGTAAGTAGTCATCTCTCTAAAATAATATCTGGAAGATCCTTCATTTTCCTCTTAAGATATAGTAAAATAACCATCTACCCAATTAGGAGAAGTTCTATTAATTAGGTAACATACTGTTTGAGTGACAGAGACCTGGAAATATAAAATTCTGCCTTTGGAGTAGGCATCTGGCCATCCTGCAAATATCAAGATTTTAGATGTGCAGAATTTTCTGCAATTTCTGATTTCTATAGCCATCCTGAACACTTGGTCATTTCTCTTTCCATCCTATGAATAGGCCCCCTGGGCCCAGATGTAATGAACAAAATGAGGAGGAAAGATTTCAAAGATATTAATTTTCTTTGTATAGTCCAGCCTATCAGAAATCCTTCAAGCCCTAGACAGCTATATTTTTTATTTTTTTCTTTTTGCTTATGGTGGTGCTGAGGAATCGAACCCAGGGCCTCAGGCATGCAAGGCAAGCGCTCTACAACTGAGCCACCTTCCCAGCCCGGCAGCTATATATTTATTTGCATAAAACCACATTTTGGAGCCATTTCTCTTCCTATAGCCAAGTGATGTCAACGAGCCTTTTTTTTTGACAGTCATAGGGTTTGAACTCTGGGCCTGAACGCTGTCCCTCAGTTCTTCACCTCAAGGCTAGCGCTCTACTACTTGAGCCACAGGGCCACTTTTGGTTTTCTGAGTGGTTTATTAGAGACAAGAGTCTCACAGACTTTCCTGCCCAGGCTGGCTTTGAACCATGATCCTCAGATCTCAGCCTCTTGAGTAGCTAGGATTTACAGGTGTGAGCCACTGGCACCTGGCTCAACAGGTCATTTTAAGCAGTCTTGAACTCTTCTATCTCCCCTTACAAGGCTTGTAGCTCTCTACTACACTGCTATTCCAATCCCCCTTGCAGAAGAGTAAGCCCTGGTCAAATGAGAAGGCTCACACCTGCAAATCACTAGAACTGGTCCCTCCATGTTACTCTGAGGTATGATACCTCTAAATTTGAAGAAAAGTTTATGAGGATAGAAGCAAAAATGAAGACCTAAATTCTAGCATTACTTTTTCAAAGCATTGTTTAAATATAAAGCTAGGTATTTATTCAAAATCTGTTCATATATGATGGACAAATCACTTCTTAAATGTTCTTTGTGTGGCAATATAAAGAAGGAAGGTGAAGGAGAGTAAGGTTTTCTTCACACCCTTAAAATGCATGTACAGAATGTTCTTTGTAAAGCAAATGTACAGAAAATTATTTTCTTCTTTGAAGCATCTGTGAGTTTTTCTTCTTTAGAAAAAAAACGGGCTCTTTTTGGTGGACACATGACAGGGAAGGAGTTTAGTGTACCACACAATCATGCTATTTTAAACAGCTCCATCTCAAATTAAGTTTACATATAGTAGCTTTCTAAGGAGGGAGGGTGGCAACATGTAAGCAATTTGAAAGTCTAACATTTCATTTACAGGTTCAAAATAGCTTTCAATTTCCTTACTAGTGTGCTTCTAATTAAATCTTAATTGTACCATTCATTATGAAATGAAAGAAACACTGTTATACTGGATTTTCTCTAAGAGGAAATCAAAATGGCTCTCATAAAATGGCTTATACACACATATACACACAAAGGAAAAATTAAAATAATGCACAAAGAAGCCTTAAAAGTAAGCATTAACATTTGAATTTTCATAAGTAAAAACTTGTCATAAGGAATATATTTTGATAGACCCAAATTAGTAAGTATATCTAATTAATTATAGTAAATTGTCCAAAATTATACAGTAACTTTAGGAATGGAAAAAAATGTATACATTCTGTACTAGTGGTTAATAGGAGATTCAGCTAGACATAGAAGGAACTATATGACCCTATAAGACTGGCCAGACATTTCCTGAACAGATCTATACCACAAGTCAGCCATTGTACTTTGAGGTCATGAGTGTTTTATGAACTGTTTCCAATACCAGCCCTGGCAGGTAACCCATGAGATTATCTCCAAGTCATCACAGAAAAATCCAGAAGTGGAATTGCAGCTCAAGTGGTAGAGTGCTAGCTGTGAGCCAAAGGAATTCAGGGACAGTGCCCAGGCCCAGAGTTCATGACCCAGTACTGGCAAAAGAAAGGAAGAAAGAAGGAAGGAAGGAAGATAAGAAGGAAAGAAGGAAAAGAAAGGAAGGAAGAGGAAGGAAAAAGAAAAGGAAAGACTCACTCTGCAGAATATACCAGTATCACAGTCATTTGAGATTCAGGTTCCCCTGCCTTCTCATTCTTGCCTTGTTTCTATTTCAGGGACTTTATGAGAAACAATTAAATTAATATTTTAAAGACAATAAACAGGTTCTGGACCTTATCTCTGCCTGAGAATTTCAGAAGCCACAATACCAGGTAAGGATAGATCATCCATCATTTGTTAGTCTAGTGTGGTCAATGGCTCCATAGTGAGCTGTAGCATTGTTGAGGTGTTGACCAGTTGAAATCCAGTATTAGTGCACATGGTAATGAACAATCTGTTGTGGCCCTGAGTTCAAAACCAATACCACCAATTTTTTTTGGCGGGGGGGGGCTGGTCATGGGGCCTGAACTCTGGGCCTGGGCGCTGTCCCTCAGCTCAAGGTGAGCACTCTATCACTTGAGCTACAGCACCACTTCCGGTTTTCTGGTGGTTTGTTGGAGATAGGAGTCTCACGGTCTCTCCTGCCCGGGCTGGCTTTGAACCGCGATCCTCAGATCTCAGCCTCCTGAGTAGCTAGGATTACAGGCGTGAGCCACCAGCACCCAGCTACTTCCTGCTTTTTTTTTCTTTTTGCTTATGTGGTGCTGAGGAATCGAACCCAGGGTCTCATGCATTCAAGGCAAGCTCTCTACCACTGAGCCACCTTCCCAGCCCCCCACCAAAATTTTTTAAAAATGAAAAACTCTAGAAACATGGATTTCCTTCCTTGTGCCATTCTGGGAATGTCAGAAAATGCTCTCTAGTTTCTTTTAAGAAGCAGTCACAGTCTGGATACCAGTAACCTGTAATCCTAGCTACTCAGGAGGTTGAGATTTAAGGATCATGATTCAATACCATCCCAGGCAGAAAGTCTAGGAGACTCTTATCTCCAGTTAACCACACACACACACACACACACACACACACACACACATACATACACAAAAAAAAAACCAGAAGTGGAGCTGTAGCTCAAGTGGGAAAATGCTAGCCTTGAGCAAAAACAAAACCTAGAGACCATGCCCAGACCCCAGAACCAACACACACACATACACACACCAACAGTATTTTAAACCTTAAAAAAAAAGTACAAGGATGGGGCTGGGAAGGTGGCTCAGTGGTAGAGTGCTTGCCTTGCATGCTCGAGGCCCTGGGTTTGATTCCTCAGCACCACATAAGCAAAAAGAAAAAAGCCGGAAGTGGCACTGTGGCTCAAGTGGTAGAGCGCTAGCCTTGAGCTGAAGAGCTGAGGGACAGCACCCAGGCCCAGAGTTCAGGCCCCACGACCGGACCCACAAAAAAAAAAAAAAAAGTACAAGGACTTTAGTGACACAAATGTATTTTTACTGATAAAGAGTATCACCTAAGCCAGGCGATGGTGGCTCTACCTGTAGTCCTAACTACTCAGAAGGTTGAAATCTGAGGATGGCAATTTGAAGCCAGCCTGGGCAGGAAAGTCCATGAGACTCATCTCCAATAAACTACTCAGAAAAAGCCAGACATAGTTCTGTGACTCAAGTGGTAGAATGCTAGCCTTGAGCCAAATAAGCTCAGGAACAGCACTCAGGCCCAGAATTCAAGCCCCAGAATTGGCACAAAAATAAAGAAAGAAAAGAAAAAGAAAGGAAAGAAAGAAAGGAAGGAAGGAAGGAAGGTGCCAGTGGCTCACACCTGTAATCCTAGCTACTCAGGAGGCTGAGATCTGAAGATAGTAATTCAAAGCCAGGAAAGTCTGTGAGACTCATCTCCAATTAATGACCAGAAAACCAAAAGTGGCACTGTGGCTCAAGTGGTAGAGTGCTCATCTTGAGCAAAAGAGCTCAGGGACGAATTTAAGCTCTACAACAGACAGAAGGAGGAGGAGGAAGAAGAATTATTTGTTTATCTCTTCTCTCTTAAAAAGGCACAAGCCCTTCCTGTCCTTCCCTTCATAGCTCATCAAATAAGTTACTAAAAGAAGTTGATTGAGCCTGAGCTATAGGTGTGTTCAGTGGCCTCCTAGCATTTTCTTTAAGATTGGGAACACAACATACAGCCCAGCTTTTATAATTATTAGTACATTAAGGATATGATAGAATAGGCTTTATATAGAATTTGTTGGTTGTTACCCTCATCATGAGGAAATAATTAAGCACCTTTGGTATACCTGTGCTAAGGATTGGAATGATTAACCTGAGTATATCCAGGCCTGGATTCTGATAAGCTACCTAAGAGCTCAAATGAAGCAAGTAATGGCAGATCTTGGATTGATTGTTATTGCTTGTGGCCATCTCTGTGACCCAGAATCAGCACTCACATCCCTACAGACATCCAACAAAGGCACAGTAAGATACATTAAATATATAAATATATATAAGCTTATGAATAGAAATTGCAGTGTCTGCTACAGTAAAATTGGAAGCACTCCATTTCTTTGTAATTATCATTTGCTTGACCTTTAATTTTTTTTTGGCCCAGCTGAGAACATTGTGATAATTTGTTTTATGTTAGAGATGGAAGGGAAATGTTCAATTTTTTTTTTGTCAGTTGTGGGGCCTGAACGCTGCGACTGGGCACTGTCCCTCAGTTCTTCAGCTCAAGGCTAGAGCTCTACCACTTGAGCCATAGTGCCTCTTCTAGCTTTTTCTGCTTAAGTGGTGCTGAGGAATTGAACCCAGGGTCTCATGCATGCAAGGCAAGCACTCCACCACTGAGCCACCTTCCCAACCCTCAAGCTTAAATTTAGTTGTTTTGTCATTGATACTAAAAGACTAACAAGAAGGCATCTTTCATCTCTTCTGAATAGAATATATTCACTAATATTGTAAATATAGGTATACAAATCCCCATAATTGAATTTATATCCCTTTCATTTAACAACAGGGAAACTCTAAATTAGCCACTTAATCTCTGTGAACCTTAGTTTATTTATCCAAAAATGAATCAAATGATTTTATTATTTATTTTTGTGACAGTCCTGGGTCTTAAACTCAGGGACTGCACACTATCCCTGAGCTTTTGTGCTCAAGGCTAGCACTCTACCACTTGAGCAACAGCTCCACTTCTAGCTTTTTTGTTAATTAATTGGAAAGTCACAGACTTTCCTGCTCAGGCTTGCTTTGAACTATAATCCTCAGATCTCAGTCTCCTGAGTAGCTAGGATTATAGGCTTGAGCCAGTGGTACCAGACTGACACTATATTTTTTTTATCAGCATTTTCTATGGGCCTTCCTGGTAGAGAAAAACAGAAACATAGTGAGACAAGCCAAGCATCCAAAGCAAAAGTCCCAGCATATGCTTTCAGATGAAGGCTCTCAGATTTGTAATCTGATCATGTTGGAGATGTAGAGAAGGAAATGGACTGTGAAAAGTCTGGAGCTTGAAAGACCTAGGGCTTGCTGGAAAGTAATGGATTCTCAGGGCAGAGTTTTGACATACAGCTCCCAGACAAAGAGTTGGGTCCACACAGCTCTACTTCTGGGTCTGAGTATGACTACTGAAACTTATTCACTGGCCAGGAATCCCTTGTTGACTTGGTAGCCCTTATAGCAAGCATGGGCCATGTATTCTGTGTATCTTGCATCCTCTCTCCTCCATGTTTGCACTTACAGTGGAGAATCACAACACAGCTGGAGATGTTCCTTGCTCTTGCACACTCAAATAAAGCCTCATCATTTCAGCAACAGTTCTTACTTGCTGAGAAGTATAGTTCCCACTAGATCCCAGAAAGACTATTCCCAAGCCAACCACTCCTAGATGTGGCTTAGAAACCCATACTCTGAATCTCAGAGAATGGTTAACCATTCAACAAATAATTCCTGTGAATTGATCTTTGGATTCGATGCTGTGGGTAATACCAGTTGCATTGTACTTAAAAACTAGTGGAAGGGGCTAGAAACATGGCTTAGTAGCAGAGTGCTTGCCAAGCATGCATGAATCCCCTGGGTTTGATTCCTCAGTACCACATAAGCAGAAAAAGCTGGAAGCAGGGCTGTGGCTCAAGTGATAGAGTGCTAGCTTTGAGCAAAAGAAGCTCAGGGATAGTGCCCAGGCCCTGAGTTCAAGCCCCAAGACTGGCAAAAAACAAAAACTAGTGGAAAAAGAATATATAAATATATATAATATTATATATACTTATATATATACTTATTGAAGTTGTTATGATCAAAGAGGAAAATTAAAGGGAAAGTTAGTGAAATGACAAGAGTTGAAAGGTGAAGAAGTAACAAGGACATCTTCATGGAAGAGTAGTATTTGAACTTTACCTCAAAGGAAGGGTAAGCTCCAAATGAATGGATAGATGGTTTCCAAGATAATAAAATGCTTATTTAACTGTCTGGATGCAGGAGAGATAGGATGTGAGAAGAAAGTCCTTGCAGAATATCCATACACACGGGAAATCATGGGAAATAAAGAAGGATGAGGAGGGAGCCACCCAGTCACATCTCCATAAAGAATTGAAAGGAGGCTTTAAAAAGAGCTCAAGGACACAAATGCCATCCTTTACACTTCCTTGATTAACCTCAAGTGCTCACCCCAGCTAAACAGTGACATTCTAATCAGTGAGATCTTATTTGTGATGTCACCTTTCTTTTATTTTTAACTGTTTGGCCTTGGACATCAGCAAAGACTTACAGTGGTTCTCTCACTGTTTCGCTAGGGCCTGAAAATACCTCTATCTTTTGGGCTCAAGAGGACCCCTATTAAAAATGAGTACTGGGCTGGGAAGTTGACAGCAGTAGTAGAGTGCTTGCTTTGTATGCATGAGGCCCTGAGTTTGATTCCTCAGCACCACACAAGCAGAAAAGAACTGGAAGTGGTACTGTGGCTCAAGTGGTAAGGTGCTAGCCTTGAGCTGAAGAGCTGAGGGACAGCAACCAGGCCCAGAGTTCAGCCCCCATGACCGACAAAAAAAAAAAAATTGTACCAAGCTGGACACCCGTGGGTCACCCCAGTAATCCTAGCTACTCAAGAGGCTGAGATCTGAGGATCAAGGTTCAAAGCCAGGTCAGGCAGGAAAAGCCATTAAACTCTTATCTCCAATAAAACCACCAGAAAACCAGAAGTGGTACTGTGGCTCAAGTAGTGGTAGAGTGCTTGCCTGACATGCATGAGGCCCTGGGTTCGATTCCTCAGCGCCACATTAGCAGAAAAGAGCTGGAAGTGGCACTGTGGCTCAAGTGGTAGAATGCTAGCCTTGAGCTGAAGAGCTCAGGGACAGGGCCCAGAGTTCATGCCCCATGACCAACAAATTAATTAATTAGTTAATTAATTAATATGAGTACCAGACACCAAAGGAATGGGGCTTGCAGCAGAAATCTGTTTAGAAGAAATTCAGGGAAGATTCTGGAATCTAGGTGCTGTCCTCATAGCTGCAGATATGAGCATCCAACCTTCATGTGTTCTCTGTAATTGCCCATCTTCCAGACCTCCAATGGGAGAAAGGAGGTCAGAAATCCTTGTCTTAAGGTCAGAGTCTGACCCCTAGGAAGCCTGGTAAACCATACTAACACTGCAGCAAATAGTGTCTTAGCCAGCTCTCTCAGAAGTCCCGCTGCTACCGCGTCTTTTGTTCTCTGCTTCTTCCCCTGTTATTATCCTTCCCCTCCCTCTACTTTCCTCTCTCCCTTCTCACCCCTGCACTGACATTTGGCCAAGAAGTTTCCAAAGCCTTCAATTCTTAAACTTTCCTTTTCTTCCACCAGGGGTCGGCTTTGTTTCTTTTTTTCCGAGGCTGATGCAGCTCCAGATTGGGAAATCCTGGTCCGCAAACAGCCCTTAGCCCAGCGGTCAGGCTGCTGGAGGGGCCAGGCCTCGGGCAGGGGAGAGCCTACTGGTGAAGGGAGACGCTGCCAGCCAAGAGGGAAGCTGGAACCTTCTATGCCCCCAACAATGTCTGTCCTCCTTCTGATGTAACACATTTGAATTGGACCCAGTCTATCGGGTTAGGGAACACCAGAACACTTTGGGGGACAGGTTAGCCTGGGCACCGAGATGGCAAGGCGAACAGGTGCGCACAGTGGCAAGGGTGGCAACAGAGAAAGGCCAGGTCTTGCTTCGATGGGGCAGGCTAGGGGAGCAGGAAGAACTTCCCCTTCCTAGTGTCTCAGCACAGTGAGGGTCAGGTGGGGAAGGGGTGAACGCCCAGCTCATCTCAGTAGGTGGGTGGGTTGTGGCTTTTTGGTTGGCCAAGGTCTGTGCCTCCAATGTCCAGCCAGCTGGTCCATGTACAAGATGCCCACAGCCACAGCCTGTGTCCCTTCCAACCCAGAACCAAGTGTTCTTCACAGCCTTTTCATCTTCTTGTCCTTTTTCCTGTTTTGTGTCTTCCCATTTGTAGCCCTCTGGCTACATACCAACAGAGACGCCCCAAAGTAAAAGTCAAGTCGACATTACAAGCGAGTATTATTGCTTGTGCGATCCCATCGCCGCCCCCTCCCCCCCTTAAATTGTGTTTCAAAACAACATGGTGACTTCTGGACAAGATTTTTCTGTTTCACCCACACCACAATAGAGATGCAATGAATGCGGCTGGTAGAATGTTTGACTATGTCAAATTCAGTCCCGAAGGCTGGCGTGGGCCAGCACTGGGGCTCCGCTTTGTGTTATGTTTCACGGAGAAGATATTAATTAAAAGAAATACATGATTAAAAAGTAATGAGTTGAATAAAAATTATCTCAGCTCATTTTCTGATTATGTTAATTGTTAAAAACCCTTCAATCACGCCGTTGCAGTCAATGGGCTTTAATGTGAAATTAGTGGGCTCTTGATAACTTACAGTCCAGAATAATCCTGGCGGTTTAGTCATCATTCCTAATAACAAGGATGTTGCTAAGAACAGAAATTTTACATGATTTTGATACACTCAGCCCTTCCCCCATGAATCGTTTTTTTTAAAGCTTAGCTTGCTAGTGATTTCCAACTCTTCCACGGTTCTACTGGCCTTGGCAAAACTCGAATCTGCAACCCCGCCCCTTCCACTCCCCGAGCTCAGCCTGGGGAGTTTGCTGGCAATTGATTCTCGGTCCAGCGGCCAGAAGCCTTTGGGAAACCGAGTAAGCAGCTTTCCTGGCCAGCGACACCAGAGTGCCAACCTGCATCCCCGGCTGCGGCTGCGCTGGAAAGGAGTGAGGAGAGAAGAGAATCCCCAGTAGGAGGCCCGAGCAGCCATTGGGCATTTGGTCGATCAGCGACAAGCGAGCCAGCATGCAATGCAGGAGGTGAATCCGCCTGCACAATCCCTGTGAGTTCCAGGAGGCTGCAGGACTGGGGCAGACCTAGCTGCAGGGCCTGTGTAGTTGTGTGCACAGAACCCCCCCCACACACGGCCCCCACTGCAGTCTCAGAGGTTTGGCTTCTATGGATCTTGAGAACTCAAAGATTTGAAGGAGCAGAGGATCGAGAGAACAGGAAAAGGGTCCCTAGCCCCCAGAACAGGGCCTGTGCTGCTGACAGTGCCCGGGACAGAATAGGCTGAAAATTAAAATTAGTTGAAACTGTGTTGGACTCTGAAGAATGTTGATGGCTGAGCCCTTAGGCTCCTTAGGGACTCCCTGGGAGCTCTCTCCTTAACTGGCACCAAATCCATAGCTAAGGCTAGAGGTGGATGGTGGAGGGATGGTCACAGGGTCTCAGCACACCTCCTGCTGAATGTCCAGGAACCAGTGGAGGTTGTCAGCCACCACTCAACAACCAATCTGAAAGCATCTTCTGCAGACTTAAAGGGACTCATCTTTTGTTTTTCTTGGAAGTGTTGGCGTTTGAACTCTAAGCCTTTTACTAGCTAAGCAAGTGCTCTACCACTCAAACTACTCCCATAGTCCTGAAGCCCAATAATTCACCCAGAAGTAGATAGGTAAATTGCACTTCTAAGGTGTGCCTGAGATCATACATACATACATTCATACTAGAGATGTGCCTATAGTCCGTATGTATTGGGGAACAGTGAGGTGTGTTTGTGTGTGTGTGTGTGTGTGTAGTGTGTGTGTTACAGGTATCTCAGGGCATGAAATTGTTTCAGAGTACCGTTTTTCAAAACTTTTACCTTTAAGATGATCTGGATTGGAGCAGAAGGAGGAGTCTGGTGTTTCTTAATTTGATTTTCTGTTTCTCTGGCAACATCAGAAACACAATTTTCTTCCTTTGATCTTTTAAAAAACAGTCTTTATACCTTCTCAAGTCCAAACATTGATGAACCTTCCCTGAGGACTGAGGAGGGTGTGTGTGTGTGTGTGTGTGTGTGTGTGTGTGTGTGTGTGTGCAGTGGTGTCAAGAACTGGCTGGGAAAAGTCCCAAGTAATTCTTGTTCCTCTATTTTACATCTGCTGTTAGGCTGAGGATCATTTTAATAAATAACAATGAACAGGAATGGCATCTAGAGGGCTTGTCGGCAACATTTAAAAGCCAATAGAGTTTATAATTCTACTCTATCATTTCTTATTGATTAGAGTAATCAAGATAAAAAGCTAGCCGGGCTGGGAGAACTTCAGCAGCATATCATTAAAGATAAGAGTCAGTTAATTCTGGAGCTGGGGTAATGTGGCTGAAATGAAGAGTTCATTTGCATGAGATGCTGAGCCCAGTAACAAGGGGACAAAAATCACTAATTAGGATTGCAGAATGTCGCCCTGTCTGCAAGCACCCTTTCCAGACCACAGAACCAGGAGAAGGTGCCATTTATGTAAATCTGGGGCAGAGCTGAAAGCTCTCACTGGCTTTACAGATTACCGACACCCGCCCCCTTGGCCCTTTACACCTTACTCTAGGCCTGAGTCGCCAAACCTAGGCAGGGATAGGGTCACTCTGTTCCAGTCTTTTCTTCCCACCACCACCACCCCCAATCTCACTTCCGCCCCGCAATCTTCGGAGGTTAGGCCCCCACTGAAAGGGCCATTTGGGAGAGTATCTGGTGTCTTCCTGACCAAGTCCCACCGTGAAATCCTGACCCCAGGCTCTAGTCTGGTCGGTGAGTGCCCTGGGACAGGCCCAAGTCCATGTCAGGGTCCAGGAGATGGGGAACAGGAGTGCAGCATGGTCTCAAGGACACTTGCTGTGGAGAGGATCCTCAGAGGAGGTCCAGATTCCAGAATCAAAATCCATGCCCCGCCCCACCTGTTTGGCTTCTTCTAGTCTCCTCAAATCGAGGGCAACGCCTGTCCAGGAGCGCCCAAGGGCTTGTGCCCCTCCGCTTCTAGTGCACATAGAGTAGCACATGAGGCCTAGGCCTGCGTGTGCAGGAACGCATGCGCGCATACGTGCAGGTGAGCCCAGCTCTTGTTCCAACGTGTTACACCACACTGCTGAAAGTGCCTTTATTCTTCATGTGCGTGCACAGGTGTGTGGCTGTTGGTGTGAACGGGATGTAGTGTGTGGCCATGTCACGTCTGTGCTGTGAGTGTGGCACGAAGTGGGGAGGTGAGAGGATGAAGAGGCTCCCCAGAGGAAGGCGCCTAGCAGGCTTCACTGCGGGAGGGGGGCAGGTATAAGGTAGGAGAGGGATCTGCCTGGGGGCGCCTTACAGACAAGGGTGAGAAGGGTGTGGCCGCACCTCTAGGGCCCCCAGAGATCTAACAAGGATTCGACTGCCTCCGTTGCCTCCCTCCCCCCGGACACCCAGTGATGGACCCGGGGGTGGGGTGGGGTGGAGTGGAGGAACACCCCGCGCTTGGACCACGCACCATTCCCTCAACTGAATGACAGGCCCGAAGCGTCCCCGGACAGCTGGAGCACAACTGAAGAGGTGGATGCAGAAAGGCCGCTGTGCGGTCACCTCGCGTGCGGGGGGGGGGGGGGCTCTCCACGCCAGGCACTTCCGGCTGCGCGGGGCACCTCCGGCGTGCACGCCGCGATCGCGGACGCCACAGCTGCCTGCCCCTGACTTCGAAGCTCCTTCCGGAAGGAAAGCGTGGCTGCTGCTGGGGCGACCCCTCCTGGAGACCCCGCCTGGCGTGGGCCTGCCTCTCACTCCGTTGTAACGACCCAACTCCAGGCCTGTGGCAGATCCTCGTTGGGTATCGCCGTGGAAAGCGGCCACGTGGACACGAGCTCAGGCCCCAGGCCTGGCCACGGCCCCGTGCGCCGCCCGTGGAGGGATGCACGGACGCAGGCGGCGACCCCACGACCCGGTGCCGCGTGCACGCTGCAGCTGCGCCGCTAAGGGCTGCGTGCCTGTTGGTGCGGGGCGGGGATCGTGGTCAGGGGCCCGAGGGGGCTCGAGGTGCAGCTTGCTGAGCCCGAGAGAGCCGGGCCGGGGGGCCCGCAGCCGGAGCTGGAACCGGAGGAGCCCGGGAGCCCGGCGCTTCTTTAGCATCCACACCCCGCCCCCATCCAGCTCTCCAGGGATCTTTTTGTGTGTGTGTCGGTGCGCAGCTGGGGGCTCCCTCACCAACCACCCCTGGGCCTCCCCATACAGAATAAAGTCAGTCTGTATTTAATGGTTATGGCGGATGTGAGGCGGATTTGGCAGAAGCAGAAGAGGGGCCTTTCGCTCTCAAATATCGCTCCTTACGTCGTGTGAGTCTACCAACCCACCACGACCCCATATTCTTGTGCGGGTGTCTGACTCGCATGACAAGCGAGCTGATTTTTTCAGTACATAGCTGGGAAATGTAGTGAGTGATAATAGAGATTTCTCTTTCATTTTTTACGCTTGACTTGGTTATTGTTGCTTTTCTTTTCCCGTGATTCCTTCTGAGGATTAGCTCTGACTTCCCCACTATTGGCGGTCAAAGTGGCCCCGACTCGGGATGACAATTGACGGGGATCAAGGGATTGCCCATTCTGTGCCTGTAAGAACGGATTCGTGCCAGAGAAACTCATCAAGTGGAGGCGGAGAAGAAAGACCGTTCGGGGGTAAATGTATTCATTGAGAAGGGTTCTCCCAAATTGCTTCTAAGTTTTTTTAATGAAAAGTAACGATTGCAGCAATCAGCGGCTTTTTGGCGGATTACAAATCTGGAGGGAGCTGCTGGTGCTGCATTGAAAAATGGCCCCTCCTCCGCACGGGGCAGCCGGTTCACAGGAACAGCGCCGGGGGCGGGGTCCCGGCGCCGCACAAAGACTGCCAGGGGGCGAGTCGAGGCAGGTGACCTGGGGCGCTCAGGGGATGAGAAGCAAGGTGGGGTGACGCCAAGCTCCGCTTCCACTGCGGGAATTCTTGGCTTCTGGAGCCAGGAAGGTGCTCAGGAGGAACGCTGGTCCTCCACCAGCTACCATCTGGTCCCCAACCTCTACCCTTGGCCTTACACCCTAGCATCTTCCTTTAGGAATGTCTAATTTTGCACCCGGGGTCTTCCTCGGGTGTGACAGGCAGAAGAAGAGAACGCTGGGATCCCATGTGCACTTCCAACAAGTGCACACCAGTCCCCCGGACCTCGAAGCACAATGTCGCCCCCACCGTGTGTGTGTTGGGGGGACGGGGCCCATGCTCCAGCCTGGACTGCACCCTGGTCGAGGCTGCAGCCCCCCCCCCTCAGCCCCTAAAAAGCAGGGACTTGCTCTCCCTGAGGGGGGGGCCGAGAACAAGAAGGGGTGACAGGAGGACAGGGCCAAATAGTTATTCCCATAGAGGCCAAAATCAGGCGCAGTAGTTCTAGACAGTCTCATTCAGAATGACTTTTCATACATTTATTTCTTAAATAGTAGATCTTGGCAGGGGGCTGGAGGTA